GGTGCTGGCACCCGTCGATTACGACTTTCCCGGCGAGGAGAGGGAGATCACGGAATCTCAGCGGCACAGCAGGAAGACCAGCGGCGATGCGCAGCCGGTCAGGTTTCTCGCCGGTGACACCCTCAAGCAACTCGTGAAGAAGCCCACCGCGGAGAATTACAAGAAGTGGTTGGAACAAGAGAGCCGCACTGAGCCGCAGAGACAGTCTGTCGTTCTTTTAGTGACTATGTAAGTATTCCATTAAACGTGATGTTTGTATGCGTAATAAAATTGTCGTGATTCATTTCCTCTTAACGCTTCAGGCATCTTTAGATATTTGTTGTTTCTTCAGTGCCGCTTTCTAAAAAAATCGACACGTTACATCACCATGTATCTTGCATTTGCGATGGAAGTCGATGTAGCGTAGATTTAAATATTATTTCCCGACTTTATGAATGACTATTATATTTTACTGATGAAATAAAAATTTCTTTACTTTTCCACATGAGCACAGACCTCCAAGGGATGTCCTAATGACATCCAGAGAACGCTCTACATCCTAAGGACGTCCCTCTGCTAAAGTGTATTCTGTGGATTTATCTTTTATTCTGTTTAATGAAACAATTTCAAACAATTTTTTAATGTATCTTTTATATTTATTTTATTTATTTAACGTTGTTATAAGCAATTACTAAATTCTTGAACACCTTCCAAATTTATTATTTCGCAGTAATGATTATTTAGAATTTTTTTATTTTTACACTGATCAATTATTCATTCCATTAACTTTTTATTTCCAACTGCTGCCAATCGAAAGTTGGCAAAAACGGAATGTGCGTTTCACCGAGGTCGAAGCTTTGTTACTTTAGTTTTCAATGACTACATAGTTTAATATCAACTTCCGCATATGAGCTTCTTACTAACCAAGCTTGGTTTAAAGCATATAATTATCATTAATTGTTATAAACAATGAGAAAATGATATTGTTAACTCGATCTTAGTATACGATTGGATCATTCGTATCCTGCGCACTTTTTTTCTTCAATAAAATAGGAGCATTAAGTAATTAATGATACAATTTTTTAAATACACAAATACTTTCTAAAGATGTTGGTGATTTATGTATGAATCACTTAAAGTTAACAGAGGATAAGAATGATCTATCGTATGTATTAAAGATTAATATTCTCTTGTCGCGTATTACAATCGACGGTTCGTCCGTCTCGTGAATCTGCTCGAAAGTCAAGGAATTCGCGAGGCTGCGCGCTTTCACTCGGATTCACTGCGGTGTTTTAGGCCGAGAGATGGTGACGGTCAAGGTGACAAGGAAATCTTCATGTACGACGTGACCTCTGGAGCTGTTAGCAAACTAGCCGGTGATCTCTCGACGGCCTTCGTAGACGCCGCCGAGAGCAACTCTGATGGCACCGATTCTATCGATGACTCTACCTTTTCGACATTTTAATTAGTTCATAAAAAAAAGCTATTCCTCGAAATATTAAAAAATGTTTAATCCACGGACGCAGAATTCCTTTTTTGAGAGATTGTACAATATGGATATATTCAAGATGTCTCTGTTTTGTCTTTGTTGCAGATAAAGAAAGTTCTTTGCATAATGTATTTCTCGACTTTAACTAAATGATTTTTACTAAACGGAATTTAACTTTTTTGTGTTTCGTGATGAAGGAGAAAGAATTGATTTAGGTCTCTGTGTTGCTTACGCGATAATGAATGTCAATGGTTAAATGCTGATGAAAAACAATGTAAAAACGACGATTTTTCGACATAGTGTGATGCTTTTTTGTGATTTGGGCAAAAATGTAAGAAAGAGGATAAGGATTTCGGAGTGAGGTGAAGAATCGCAGCGTGGCAAATTACTTCGAGTATCCTTGTAGATATCTTAACTATGTATTATTATGTACATATAAGAATAATTTTGTACTTTTTTATACGAAATAAAACGCAGTCTTTTTATGTTCGCATGGTGCTTTCCATATGTCCGGATCGAAGTTAAAAAATATTATTTATGATATTTATATTTACAACATCTAATATTAAAAATTATATAATAATATTAAAATCTCCAGGAATCCCACTTTTAAGTAATAGAAGAAAGATATTTTTTTTCAGTTAAGAGAATTTTAAAAAGAAATTTTTAATTATATTAAAAAATTTTTTAATAAAGTTAGAAATATAAAAAAGATAAAAATTTAAGAAAAGGGTGAATTAAAAGATATCAAAATAAAAAAAAATTTAATATCAATAATAATGCTCAAATACTATCACGTATTTCAAGTCTTTTTCAGTTAAAAATTGTGAAACATTTAATAATAAAGAAGAAAAAAAACTTCATGAAGTACTTGATAAAATAATAAAAAAATATTGCTGAAATATTTAATGATATTACATATACTATTATAAAAATGATATTAAAATCGATAATCAACTTTTTCAGTTTCCTAAAAAACGACATGTCGATTGATGCCGTTTCATATTTCTACGCCACGTGCGCAAGACGATCCGAAGTTGTTCGGAAGTTTCCGGAAACTGCCGAATCAGAGAGCACCACAAACGCTAGTGTCGCTAGTTGCTACGAACAATGAAAATGATTATCAATGAACGCTGACGATTGACGGTTGATATATAATCTTTCTCGTGTTATTTCTTTATTGTAGTTAGTTTGTAGTACGAAAATCATAATACGGGTTGCTACTTTGATAAATCATAATAAAAGAAGGTATGTTGATCTTATATAATTATTATATATGTTCGATCTATTACGATTTTATTGCGATTAATCTAACCAAGTAAGTTAGGTTAGGTTTGTTAATCGATGATTATTGGAAATTTTAGGATTCAGTTTGAATAAATCCGAAAAATATGTCAAATTGGCGATCGAGTCATGCGACGGAGCGACGAGATACGTATAAAAATAACAGAGAAAACAGGCGTGATAGGAGTAACGAGACTTATAGAGATAGATCGCAGAGAAGCAGAGACAGAGATCACAGAAGTGGTAGACGCGATTATTCCAGGAGAGATGATGAGAAGCAGAATGACAAGAGGAAGCACGAGAGATCACCGTTGAGGAGGGAGAATAGTCATCCCAGGCACAGAGAACGTAATGAGAGGAGCAGAAGTAGAGACAGAAGAGATGATTCCAGCAGAAGACGCAATGATCAACATAAGCAAAAGCGAAGTCCAGAGGAGACAAGAATGAAGAGGGAATCCTCTGCAGAATGGGGAAAATCGACTGTGAAGGAGGAGAAAGAAAAGCCCAACTTCGAGCTGTCAGGAAAATTGACAGAGGACATGAATACTGTCAATGGAGTAGTTATAAAATATTCTGAGCCTCTAGACGCCAAAAAACCCAAGCGTCGATGGAGATTGTATCCCTTCAAAGGCGAGAAGGCGTTACCTACATTGTACATACATCGGCAATCAGCGTATCTTATGGGCAGAGATCGCAAAGTAGCTGATATACCTTTAGATCATCCTTCATGTTCCAAGCAACATGCTGCTCTGCAATATCGTTTAGTCTCTTATCAAAAAGAAGGTGGTGTTGAGGGTAGAAGAATACGACCATATATTATTGATTTAGAGTCCGCAAATGGTACCTTTGTAAATAATGTAAAATTAGAACCAAGGAGATATCATGAATTATTAGAAAAGGATGTAGTACGGTTTGGCTTTAGTACCAGGGAATATGTTCTGTTACATGAACATAGTAAGGACGATTCCTTTGATGATGATGTACCTCTTACAAATGAGACTTAGGTAAATAAATTTATATTATGTTACTTTTTTTTACTACAATTTTTAGATTATGACAATTTTTAGATTATGTAGAAAAGAAAAGTGTTGTTGTTAGCCGACATATTATTGAATTTTATAATTTTATAATTTATTAAGACTTTTACTTATCTACCAATTTTTATAGGTCAAAGTTGTTGGCTCGTAGCTCTTTTGCCTTGTAAAAAAAAAACAGAATACGACTTATACATTCACTTAGAAATAATAAAAAAAATTAAAATTGAAAAATTGATATGACTTGGCTATCTCTAATTATGTCCTTGTATTAACAAGAAAAAGTTAAGAATTTTATAATTCCTATTGTATTATATACTTGTTGAGATTAAATGTTGTAAATTAAAGAGATAGAGATTACCAGAATATTGTAAATTGTATACATTTATAAATATATATAACATTGAGATCTGGAGACATGGTAGTGTCTTAGTGCTAAGTCAAGGTCAAAGTTACTTAAAGTATTGCAAAATTATAAAATTCTTAATGTTTTCTTGTTAACACTGGAATATAATCAGAGAGATATAATTCATCTTAACTTTTCAATTTTAATTTTTCTTGTCACATTGGACTAAATATGTAATTGTATTCTTTCTTTTTTACATAAATAATATCTTATATAATCTACCTAAATAAAAATATTTAGATATATATGTATATATTTCAGAAACCTAATTCTAATAAGAAAAACACTCAGATATGAATATGTATGAAGACTGATGCAGAAATTAAGCTGAGAACCAGGAGAAGCAAGATGTATGTGAAAAAGGAAATCCAATGTATGTAGATACATATTTAGATACAGTCTTATTAATAATCTTTTGAATATCTTCAGAATTATTTTGAATGCATATTAATATTATTCATGTATAAAATAATAACAATGCATGTATAAAAGCAACTTTTAAAAATTAGTGAGTTTCTAAAATATACACTGGAAATTTACTTATTTATCACAAAGAAAGAAAAATAGTATCTCATTTGTGTACATTTCCCTGTGACATTAACTTTGATATCTTAATAATGTTTGAAATATATCGTGTAAAATTGTAAACATGTAGGTTAAAAACAATCGAAACTCTGATGTATATTGTTTGTAATATATTATTTACAATTATTTAGTTACAGTATTTACTGATTCACAATTTATTTTCCTATAAAGCTACTTGAAAATACAAATTTCAAGTATAGTCAGTCCATCGACACAAACTTCGCAAAATTTTATACATTCTAATTTATCTTTTTAATAAAAATACATACGTTTTCATGTCGTTATAACTACGCAGAAAACTTAACAATTTCTTATATTGATTTTCATATTTGCTAATTATCATCAAACATGAAATTTGTACAATGAAGTGAAACATTTCACAGATTTTATTCAATAAATATATTATTTAAATCATAATTATAAAGTTAAACTTTAAATTATATATATTTCATATTTATTATTCTCTATTAACATATTCCTACATTAAATAACAGTTTCGCGATTATTACTAAAGTTGCAAAATTTTTACGTTCCAAAACGATCTGCCATATCTACGCGACAAATTTTTGAGTATAAAAGTTCATGTATGTACATTAAAATGGCAGTTTAAAGCTATTGTCAACTCCGCTCCTTCTATCTTTTATCTTTACATATGAAATACTTGGGCATTAATGGTATAAGCAGAGCTTAATGTATGAGCGTATGTAATTTGATATATTTAAGGCACCGCATTCGGATAAAAAAGAAAAGAAACAAAAAAATTTGAGCAAAATCATAGCGACTGTCTCGAGTAATTTTTCATACATAGCTACAAGGCAAATCTGGATAATTTCTGGAGAAGAATAGATCTACTATGGAGTAATCACATAAAAAAACAATCTTGCTTTAAAAATAGTATGAATAGATTAAAAATAGTATGTATAGAATCTATTGTCATACTTTATAAATATTGGAATATTTAATTGCCTCGATTTACATCATTCAAGCTCAGAAGCGATACGAATCTCGCTTATTTATACGAAATGTTTGCATAAATCTTTAGATTTGCCACGGTCGGCGACTCACGATCCATTCACTCTGACTGCGTCCACGTTTATATTTGTATACGTGACGATGTTGCTACCGTCTTCGACGACGGGCCGCAGTAAATTCAGCAACGTGCTGTTTATCACGAGCGGTATATTCGCCTTGCCATTCTGCAAGTTTGAGTGAGTCCTCTGGACCTTCGGCAACATACTCTTCGTCACTACGCTCTCGCCCGAAGGCACTTCCCCATTCACGGCGTTCGAGACGACGGCGTTGCTCTTCAGGGATGATAGGACCGTCTGCGAATTGATCAGGGATGAACTAGGACGTGTGGAAGGCGCCAGGCTATGCGAGCTACAACTTCTACCCTCAATGCTTGCCTCGGAGTCCCTTCGCTCACCCAAGCTGGTCTTGTACTTCTGCTGACCGTTCAAGGATGAGAAGGAGTCCCTTTTCAGGGTCGCTTTCGCGATTGAGTTCACCGATTTCGAGCTGTCCAAGGTATTGCATTTATCCAGCATTCCGGAAACTGACGTGCCCTTTCGATCCGGTAAGTTTAGACTAATGATCGATGATCTTTTGTACAACAACTTTCTGTCAAACTGCTTCTGTTCTTCCGTCGAACGTTTCTTTTGCTCTTCTGTAGTCTCCGTAGGCAGACTGCTCTTACGATTGTAATTCGTACTACTAATCCTGCTTATATTTGCTAGGTTCTGATCCGAGATGTGAATTGAGCGGGGTACTTCGTAACCATTCGTAGGATTCTCCCTTAAGACGATATCCTCGTTATCCGCTAATAATTCTAAATACTTCGGAGCCTCGCCGGATTGCGGATTGAGCGTAGCGTTATTTGAGTTTTGTAAGAAAGGTTGCATGTCTCGGCTTCCTTCGGAACTACTGGACTTCCACGAGTTGCCTATACAGAATAACAATGAAAATGTATGGCAAAGTAACTGAATTTTATTAACTTATTATTTGCAGAATTCTAAGATTTTTTTTACATATTTCGTGATAAGAAAATGACATTTCCGTACATTGCATGTTTTCGTGTTTGTATTTTTTATATTACTTTTTATATATCCAAGAAATTGCGAATCACGTTACGTACGAGTTAATTACAATGATCAGAAAAATACGCTCGATGAGAAGTGGAAAAAATCGTATTTCTTGACATGGGATGGTAGTGTAGAGGCACACAATGTTTGTTAAGACCTACCTGAATTATTATGATTCTGATTCTCGTCAGCAAAGTAAGCCATGTTAGACACGCCTGCAAGCACGAGCCATGCAATGATCAATATGTATTCAAGCAGATAGAGAGTAATATTCCAATACATTTTAAGGATGATAGAAGTTTCACGATAAAACGGATTTCGTCATATGCTTCGACAATGTCGAGTTATGTGAATGTATGAAAAACATGCTTATTTTTCGCGGTACACGCGATCTAAATTAATGTAATAATTTGCGAGAGATTTCTTTATTTTTCAAATATTCGTAACTCAGTAAACTTCAAAAGTAATATCAATATTATAATTTTACACTGAATAACGTGTTATGTAATACATTTGTTATGTTATATTCAAATTGTTGAGTGTGAAATTGTATGTTGATGTTGTGTTACTTTTAACTGATGTATACTGGAAATTTACGAAGTAAAGAAGACTTTTTATTCCTTGCAGTTTTTCCATTCTATGAATTCTGTTGTGTGTGTATGTATGTGTGTTTTCCAAAGAAACACTTCTCATATTTATACATTGTGTGTAAACGATGTATTATGTGCAAATTTATAGTAGCCACATTACATACATGATATTAAAACGAATGTTTCGTAGATATATATATATATATATTTTTTTTTTTCCATAATGCGGGGGAATAAAAAATTGCATAATTTTAATTAACATTCTATTGATTTGCAAAGATTCCTCGTTCCATGCAGAGATATGCGCGTAAATAAGGATTAATATTAATTTACCTCTGCGTGCCAGATAATGTCCAGCATGCACTGGGCTCAGCACCGCGTCTTCTATGTGACTTCTTAGAACGACGATGCTCTCGAGACAAATTTTGAAGCTCGGTCTGGCGTCCGCTGCGCTCCAGCAACGCAGCATCAGCTGATGTAACGTCGGAGGGCAGTTGAGGGGTTTCGGCAGCCTGCCGCCCGCACGCACGTAATGTAACACTTCCAGATTGTTTCTAGCAGGATAGGGTTGTTGACCCAATGACGTAATTTCCCACATTAGCACCCCGAATGCCCAAACATCACTCTGTGAAGTGAATACCCCGTCCACTAAGGATTCCGGTGCCATCCAGCGAACAGGAAGCAAACCTTCTCCTTCCTGAAATTGTCATTTTTTATTTTTAATTAAAAAATTGTTTTCTTTCTTTTATTTGAATTTTTAATATCTATTCTAGAAATGAGCATGAATTAAATTGTACAACGTTCAATTTCTCGGAAAAAGAAATAATTATTTTTCTTGAGCTTCGCTTGTGCATAGAGAAATAATATAATTTTAAATAATATTATTTTAACGTGAAAATGAAAGAGAGCAGTTTATGAAGTTTCTTATTTTATCCAAAAGTTTTTACATTTACCTTGCGGTAATAGTCATTCTTGTAAATATCTCTGGCTAGTCCGAAGTCACCGATTTTCACGACACGATTTTCGCGATCTCTCGCAGACACCAGACAATTTCGACACGCGAGATCTCTGTGCACGAAGTGCAACTCCTCCAAGTAGCGACAGCCACGCGCGACGTCCTCGCACATGGCGAGCAGATCTTGCAGACGCAGAGCGTGCGGGTCTGTGAGTTGCAAGGACCGGCTCTCTCTTAAATAACTTAACAAGTCACCAGCTTCCATTAATTCCAACACGAGTAACGGAGGATCTGTATCCAAGCAAACGCCCAGTAACCTCAGCACGTGTTTATGGCGAAAATGACTCATGAGCCTTGCCTCTTGCAAAAATTCTGTCTTCTCTTGCGAAGAGGCGTCCTTTCGTAGCATCTTTATAGCAACAGGCGTTATGCCCGGTCCTTCTAAATCCTTGGCATTTCCTTGAAATACCTGCGACATTTAGAATGGATTTAATATTATAAATCCAGTATAAAAGATTCTAAAGATTTTAATATTGCAAAAATAATTATTTTCTCATGTCTGATTTTATCTTAAAATATTTCAGACATTAGAAAAAGACATTACTAAAAGTGCAAGTTTTATTTCTTTATTTCTTAGCCCTTCAAAATTATTTTTTGTATTTTAGGATTAAATCTTACCTTTCCGAATGCGCCGCTGCCTAGGAACTTTGCCAGCGTGATTTGCTCTTGTCTGATTTTGGGCAGTGCAGAATCATCCGGATCATTTTGTAACGTAGATGCGTAAAGCGCATTAGATTGAACGAAGTTTCCGCGAGGGATCTCGCGGAGGGTCGCTAATTCGACATCGGACACTATCGGAGGTAAAACTGTCTTCTTGTCTTCTTTCCGTTGTCGGTACACTGCTGGATAACGTTACAATATACTTGTCTGATATCACATATTGCCACATAGACGTATAATAAATATGTAATTAAATGTGTGAATTGTCTTCTATTAAGTTTAATTTGAAAAATGCCATTTTATCATTTAATTAATTTGTAATTGGAAGCACGAACATCATAGCAAGTATACTTACGGCAGAAAAAATAACAAAAGCACACGAACATTATGGTAACAACGATCGCGATGAGGCCCAGCATCAGCGGTAGATGCTGTTGCGTAGCCAATATTCCTCCAGCAGACTCCGTTAGATCAATAATCGTGCTCGATTTACTCCAAGCGCCAAAACCGTAAGCATTTTTGGCTTGCACGCGAAACTTATACTTTTGATCCACGTCTCCGGGGATTATCCAATAATTGTCCGTTCCATTATAATATAAATCCCAGTGCTCGTTCTCTTTACTCTCGTCATCTTGCTTGTAACTATCGTCGATGACCAAGCCTTCCAATCGATACAAAGTCACCTGTGAGCCATGAGCTTGCGCGGGATCCCAATTTAACTGATACACGGAATTTCGGAATTTTGTTACGATAGGTACCCCTGGAGCGCTTGGAACGTCACCTTTATTGCACAAAATCCATTTAAGTTTCTTTTTATTTATTTCAGTACTTTTTAAAATTTGAGTCAATCTCCCAATAAACGAGAATGGATTAAAATGGATTGAAATTTTTTTCCGAATGCGTATTTTAAAAAAATAGCGAATACTTTTTTTTGGATTTAATTGGATTCAATTAGATTTAATTGGATGCAATTGGATTAAAAAACTGCATTTCCCAGTCAAAATTTTAAATTGAACAGTATTCATTATGTACAGAAAAAGCTAATATTATTTTTAGATTGAAAGACATAGAGATATGCTCCATGCAATTCCTATAAATGAATAAAAATGCATTCAGGATTGAAAAGCATTCATTTTAACATTTGTGAATCAATATTTCTGAAAATCTGAATTCATTTCAATTCATTTTCGTTTGCTGGGCTTATATTGAAGGGTAAAATTTCACTCTTAAAGATTGAAAATTGAGCCATTCTTTTTCAAGACTAGCTCAATTTTCATTCTTAACAGTGAAATTTCATTCCAAAGAATTTAGAGAGTATACTTACTTCTATTTAAAACTTTATTGTTTTTTTTTAATTTAATTATTCATTTCTATAATAATATTAAAACATGCTTATAGCGTGGAATATTAATAATGTCTCGCTTACCGAGTGTTTGAAATGTAAATCTTCCATCGGATGGTTCCCATATGAAATCTTGATACTTGGGATATTTCAGCCTCAAGCGAAACTTGTATAAAGTACGTGGCTGCAAATGTTCTATATAATACATCACTTGGTCCTCGTTCACCTCAACGTGTTGCACGACTTGCCACTTCTCCATTGCAACGTCCTGATACTCCAATATGTAACCAATAGTTAGATTGACGGTCGGGACCCAAGACATGTTCATGCTGTTTACGCTGACTCCGTTCATTATTAAATTATTTGGCTCTGAGTACATGCGGATGCGTTGCCTGAGACTGTCGTTGTAAAAGTCATTGAAATTGACAGGATACACGCGTACGTACACCAGGTACTCCTGCCCTGGCAACAACGGCTGCAGCGTTGTGAAAAACCTGCCATCCGCCGTTCGTTTGGGCTCCTCGATTAGCTGCTCGCCCTTCTGTCGCATACCATTCTGCAAAAGATCATTCGACCTCCAATGCACCTCGTAGTGCACCACTGCGGAGTTCAGCATCTTGGGTGGCATCCAGTAGACCTCCGCCAATGTTGGTGTCAGGGCCTGAATCGTAACATTCTCCGGCCTGCTGGGCTTGCCCACGCTGGTCTTCAGCATTACCTCGTCGCCGAATTCCAATGTCTTTTCGTATAAATTGCTTAGTGCCAATTTCAACTTGTATTCCGTGAATGGCTTTAAATTCTGAATCTCGTAACGCCTCTCGTACGTCTGCACATTGATCTCCTCACACTTACTGGATTCATTCTTCAAACAATGAGACACATTGATAGTGTACAGCGTAGTGGGTAAACTATATTTTTGACATCCGTATTCAGGATTGGGTTCCGGAAGATTAACAATGATGCTATTCGCTGTTTCGTTCACCCTCTCAACATTATAGCCCGTTTGACGGGGTATCAGGCATTTCATGATGGGATAGGGTTGCAAGGATGTACCAAAAGCTGTGATTCGATTTACATTAGGTAGGTAGAAATTCTTCACTTCCGGATTGGATGCATTTTCTTTGTTTTCCATGAAGAAATATTCCTTTCTCAAAAAATGAATTTGATTTTTTCCATCGTACCAGTATATGTTCATTTTATCGACCGTTAAAATCCGTATATTAGAACTTGCTCTTAATATCATTTTGCATGTGCAACCGTAAATATCAGCTACGTTTAATCGATTCTCATCCGATGTCCAATACATCATTGGTGTTTGAATATTGGTTTTGTCAATTGTGAATGTGAATACATTTTTTGGTTTTTGTGGACAAGTACACGTGCTATCATTATTTCCAAAAAAGTATTGTACATTTTTTCCCTCGAAATCCGACTGCATTATACTGTCATTTGGCTCAATCCAATATAAAGACCTGAAAAATATTTTATTTCCTATATAATTTAAAATATCGTTTTAAAATAAATATAATCAAAACTATATACGGTTTTTTTTTATAATTTCATGCTTTTTAAATCATAATTTATCTTGATTACAGTAGCGAGCATATTGAATAATTAAAAAATAACAATTTAAATATTTTAGATAGATAAACATATTGACGTACCCCAGAGATGGCAAGATATCTAAAACTGTAATACTTCCTCCTCTTCTTAAGATATTTTTGTACTTGATTATGCCTGCCTGCAACATTGTTAAATCCAATCTTTTGATATAACTGTTTCTGTTGTTGTCTTTGTTTTCGCCTTCTACCCAGTATAGATTTCTTGCCACCCAATCGACGCAGAGGCTATGCGTATTGGTTCTATTTAGACCGAGTATTTTTGTCACGTTGGTTCCATTTGTCAATGATGTTACCAATTCCTGCATTTCGCTGATCCAATAAATCTTATCTTCCTCTCCCAAGTAATCGATCTCTTTCGCGACGTGCCTGGTGATCGTATTATTGATTTCTCTATCCAAGTCTGACAATCTCACAGCGTCATTTGTGGCGACTAATAATTTGGGCACCGGATTCTCATACGTGGTCGATACATTAATAGGATCCGTGTAAGGACCAGCACCGATCTTAGTATACGCTCTTACTTTGCAATAATAGGTCATGTTAGATGTTACATTAGACGTCGCATACTCCAGCGTGGTAGTTTCGATGCTGCAGTTGTTACAGATAAATATTTCCATTTCATTTACGATATGCCAACATTCGACAATGTATCCTTGAATTACTCCATTTGTAAACTCGGGCGGATCCCATCTGTGAAATAAGATATTTTAACGTTTCTATATCGCGAATCTGTAGCGAAATTAAATCTTATACATATTTGTACAAGATATAATATATATACAAATCTAAGAAAATAAAAGTATGTCTAGTTGGAGAATTTCTAAATTCTATACCTAAATATCAGCCAAACTTTCATGTCCATGTGTACGTTTTTCTTGCTAAACTCTACGAATGCTCTGGGAGATGTTGGCTGGCTCGGTACGCTCTGTGGAGATCTTAGGATTTTCCGAGAATGGTGCGCCGTTTCCCAATAAGTAAATGCCTTTACAGTGACTTCCAGAACGGAATAGGGCAGGATCTGATCCGAATTGTTGTATGGCATTGTCGTTTCGATCGTAATTTCCGGATTTGAATTCGTATTAATGTAATCCGCGAATTTCACCTCATAAAAAACCGTGCCGTAGTTGATGTTCTTCACGGGGTCCCATGATATGTTGAAGTTTCTCCAAGTACCTTCAACTCTTATGCTATCGAAATCAACTGCGTTCGGTAGAACTACCACCGTTTCTGACGTCAGATTTTTTGGATACTGATGGTGCGCGGGATCCGTAATGGCTACCATGTACAAGCTGGACAAAGTGATTCCATTGATTACCGCGGTATTCTGACCGGAGAGATCACCGATCACTGCGTTTCTGTCGTCCTGTAGCCACAATAGGTGCTCAGAAAAATAGCACAAAGGTCCTTGCATGTTTGGATGTTGCAAAGCAGAAATCTTGAATTAAAAAATTTATTATTTATATTATTTTTATTTTTAACCATTTATTTTATTTTTATTATGCTTAATTATTGTATATTATTAATATATAATTAAAGTCGTTGCCGCGAGATATATAATTTTATCACTTAAAATAATGATTAAGTAATAACAAATAATTATTGTGATATATGCTACATAATATTTATAAAAATAATGGAATTTAAAACCAATTGATTGCATAAAATGTACCTTTTCTGGGATGATTTTTTGATTCATTGAAATTCTTTCGGACGTAGGTGCACGATAGACAATGGATCCACTTTCGTAACTTCGAACGATCCAGTAAACGTATCTGTTTTCAGTGTCGAGAGTTAATCCCATCACTTGTTTTCCATTGAAAATTTCATCCAAATGATAGTATCTCCTGTCTTGTCCATTCAGTCGTGCAACTTCCACTGCGTGACCAGTGGACCAGTACAAGTACGCCTCAAGAGAGTCAATCATGAGTTCTTTTACAATTGCTAAGATAGACATCGGCTCTTGCTGAGATCCATTCAGGTTCGCTCTTGTTATCTGTACATTGAGAAAATAATATCCATAGAATATAAACATAATATGAAAATTTTACAATCACTAAAGATTTAAATGGCAATCATAGTATCTCAATGTAATGCATATTCTGTAAATATTTTTTGCTTTTAATTTTATAAATACAATAAAGAACGTAAATAATGGAATTATTTACGTTATTATTATTATTTTTATTAGTATTTATTATTTACGTTTTTATTGTAAATTAATATAAAAACAATAAAGAACGTAAATAATGAAATTTAATATAGTTAATTTATTTTAAATTAAGGAGATTAAGTACTTGGGTCAAAAATAAAGATCTAATTATATTTACAATTTGCTGTTTTGGATTTGCCCAATATAGTTTTTTCGATATCCAGTCTACAGCGACGCTTCCCACCGAATGTATGTTGAGTTTTGTTTTCTGATGATTGCTAACATTATAACGATACAATGCAGAATTATTTCCCACTATATACAGCACGTCCTTGTACCAACTAATGTCAACAATATGGAATTCGTTTTCGGACTCCTTTAGACTCGCCTTGTTAACCAGCGTGTCGATATTTTCGCCAGTTACGTCGCTTCTCAAAATTCCTTCGTTCGACGACCACAAGATAGATGCGTGTGAACCGGTTCTATAATATATAATTTTATTCAATTACTAATTGAGATAATTGGCACAAAGTGAAAAAACTTTGTAAATATAAATTCTACGCATGTAAAGCTTCATTAAAAAAAAAGTAATTGAAGAAACATTGAATATAATTTTTTTCAAATAGTTAAAATCAAAAAATTATATGAACCTGATATGTTGAATTTATTAATTATTATTCATTAAATTCCACCAAATAAAATTATTTATTAATATTACCTTAAGGTTTGTCCTCGAAACTCTGTGGACCACGGTCCTCTGCCAGAGCTGGTATAGGCCGCGGCTTTGATGGAATATTCAGATCTTTCTCGCAAATTATGAACAGTATGAGACGATCCGGCGATACCTTTTTGGTGAATAGTTTCGCCAGTAGATTCGTCCTTAATCTCGAGCTCGTATGACCAGTTTTGCCAGGCGCCCTTTCCTTGGCCGCCCAGTAAATGAGGAGCTTGCCACGAAACCTTTGCTCTTTCCGCTCCTAGAACAGCTTGCACTCCTGTCGGTGGATTCACTGGCACTGGAACCGGCTGACTTGCATTCATCAATACGGTCACACTTACGAAGGAAGTGTCAGACCTAAAAGAAAAGGAATAGTTATGGATTATTAATGTTTTATTAAACATAATTAATATTTTAATTTTGCAGTTAAACGCATAAAATTGAATAAAATCATTTAGAAAATTAAAAAAATACATTACTTGTCAGGATAAGAGTTGTGGAAATATCTGTTTTGACCAGCATGATAGCCTTCAGTGAGGACCTCTTCGCCATTAGTCCAGTAGAACAGTCCATTTGCCATAGCTAATGAAATAACGTTATTGAATTTCGGTTTCTGCGTATTCGGGCGAAGATTAACAACTTCGCGACCATCTAACGATACAGATATCACTGTGTTTTTAGTGTGATCAGGAACGAGCAATCGAAAATTCGTATGATCTACTGTAAAAGCACCCAAATGAGCATCTTCGAGAATTAAATCTGGTCGAACCTGAAAAAAAAATAACATCAAGAAGTTCTTAAAAAGTAATTATTTTTTTTATTATACTACATCAATATCGTGAGATCTTTAAAGATTGTTTAAAGCGTTGTACTAAGAGACGCAAAATCTTTATACATTTAAAATCGAAAATAATCAATTTTAAATTTATAAATATTTTGCGTCTCTTAATATAATTTAAAAAAATAAAGGCTTTGATAATATAATGATAAAATAAAAATAATTGGTACCTCATGTTTCACACCGTTGCTGATAACGGCTAAATCTAATCTGAACAGTCCCACTTTAGTGACCCAAAAAAGGTATCCGTTGTAAGGATCAATCTCGATATGCGAGGGTCGAGTTAAAAGTCCAGCTACGGCCACTGTCAGACTCTTGCCATCGAGATTGCATCTGGCTATTTGCCACGTCGCGGTTGTCGCGTGTTTTACTTCTCCTAAGACGTACAAGTGAAGATTCAGCCAGTCAACGGAAAGGCTCAGAGGTTTGAAGTTCACTCCGTCGGGGATCAAAATGGCCTTCGGTATGGATTGCTCGATGATCGAAGTTCGGTATACATAACCCATCGAAGTAGAAACGAATAATTGAGCTGATGCCACGTGTATTGCAACGCCGCGGATTACACTTTTGGTTTCGTAAACGACACTAGGCTCATCCAACATATCAGCACCCTGTTTCATGACCAAATGCTCACCACCGAGGATGAGAATCGGTTGTTGAGTATCCTTGACTAAAATTTGTCATTATTCATCTTATTAGTCATTTCAAAATACATTTTCATGTCATAGACATAAATTACAAAGTCTGTAAATTGATAGCTAATGCCTTGATTCTTTAAAACAGATAATGTAAAAGTGTACATTAAAAAGCTAGATTGTTTGAATGAAATTTGATCAGTAGACAATAAGATCGATGATATTTATCTTAAATTATTTTATGTATTGTATATTGTATTTTTTTTGGCAGAAAACAAGATTTGTATTCTTTCTACTGTAGAAGGACGCTCTATTTCTTGAAAAATTAAATATCATAATAAATTTCTTTTTGGGTTAACGTTAAATATATATTAATTTTTTCGTAACATACCGGTAGGTTCTGGAGTCGTAGAGATATAGATAGTTGCAGGCGGACCCTCGCCGACACTATTTCTCATAGTCACACTAACAGAATAATTCTGATTGGGTTCGAGATTTTGAAACATATAGTGATCGGTATTCTCGGAGACTGGAATGTCCTGTCGATAAAATATAAGATATACTGCATAACTCATGGACATGCATCCCTATTGCTAAGAAATAGATATGCAGTTAGGAGAATACATCCCTATTGCTAGGAAGTAGATATGTTAGGAGAATACAAGAACGCCATGCCAGAAATTTTTGTAGATAATCTGGTTCGTGCAAGTCGTCGGAATCAATGTTAGAGGATATCATAATTAAAATGCGAGGAATTTATCATTAAAGCAGTATAATCGAAGTTAAAATCAAATAATTAATGCCATTATTGCGCTTGCATAGAGATTTTACGATACTCGATCCATCGACTTTTTTTATTCTTTCTTAAAATAAAATAAGAAAATTATGCTATCTGAGAAACTAAAGAAATAAAAATTTCTTGAATATTAAGAAATTTTATCAATAAATGCGTGCCCAGTAATACTTTGCGTGGCATTAATTCTTTGTATATAAAGCATGCATTCTTTGTAAATTGATATTAGTATGCAACACAAAAAGCTAAAAGGTATGAAGTAAAATTTATTGGCTTTCATCTTTAAGATATCAAATACTTCGATAGAAGTCAATAACGGAACAAATCTTAAATATTTTTAACGTAGCAGCAGATATTATCTTCTATATCTCGCGATTTCTAATTAAAATTTAATTTATGTGGCCAATAAATTCTCTTCGAACAGGATAACGGAGTCTACCTTGCAGAACCAGTTGTACATCGCTCTTTTGCAAACAACAGTTAGATAGTACAGCAAAGCGTGACGCCGATGCGCCTTACAAGCGCATGAAAATGTCGACTATGGCAGTGCACAGAGTTGCAAGGAAAAAAAGAGATGCTTGTGCACAAGTAAGTAACGCGAAAGACACGTCAATATGTATACTAAAATGTAGTTCGGCTGTAGAATAAACATGTCTCTAAACTATATATATATACTTTCTGGCGTGGCGTGTACCTTAAGCTGATTCAACCCCTTGTGTTCAACCCCTTGCAGACGCAGGACATAAGACAAAAGTGGCCCGTTCGGGAATGGGCCTGGTTCCCAAGATACAGAGACGCGGTAACTGTCTACCGCTGCCGCTCTTACAATTACCGGTGTTGATGTCGGTAGATCGGCCGCGTATGTTAATATTACCACGCTCGGTGCTGAGACGATCGGCTCTGGATTGTGTTGCGATGATTTCAGGAGTAGCGCTACGCGAAACTGTAAATGCCAGCGTTCGTTTCATGAATGTTTTCACGAAGAGGTATCCGTAAGGAAAGAAATGGTACAACAGTTTAAGAATATTCCACCTAAAGTCTACACTAAGTCTAGATTAATGTTTATTGACGGAATCTCTCGAGGATAATGGGAATAATTTTATATTTCGTTAATATATGAGCAAAAGTGATTTATTCAAGTATTACAAGTGAGTAGAAAATTAATTCTCAGTTTGTAATTAATGAAGATCCTCAGTGAATCTTTCTTTATTTTCGCGTTCAATTATTATGCTTCCAATTTTGCCCCATTCTCTTTCCATTCCTTACATTCCTTACCCTATACTTTGTGTACGGCTGCAGGTTCTCGACCAGTATCTGATCACCTTCGCCCCATGACTGATTGCGGCAATATTGCCACGTCTCAGCTAATTCTTCGTATCTCCATTGCACCAGGTATGAAATGCCGGCGCGTCTGTCTATGTCTACACCTTTCCATTCGAGGCTGAGCGACGTCCGATTTCCGCTGTTCATTGAAAAGATTTTCTTATTTAGTGTAGAAAAAACTTTATACAGTAACTAAAGTACAAATACTTAATTTTATTTATATCTATAAATAAAAAAACTACAGGCTAAAGGTTTTGAAACTTTTTTTAAAAATTGACATTTTTGGGTTTATTTATTTTCAAATAAGTATAATGCGTTCTTTTAAATAATAATTCTTTAGATCCACAATAATTGAATAACTATTGTTATCTAAAGAATTATTGTTAAAAAACACATTGTTAGATATTTGAGTTTTAAACAAAATCCCAAAAATATCCATTATTAAAAAATATTTCCAAATTTTTGATCTGGAGTGTATGATATGTTTGATATGTGTGTACGGAAAGTGAAAATAGTTAAAAAAAAAAAAAGAATTTAATTTTCGATAGAAATAATGCAGGAGCAGAAATAATATTGCAACGCAACGAAATTATGAAAAACAATGTACGATCGTATCATTACGCAGAGCAATCTTAAACAATACGCCCTGTCATATCATATCATCTTAACCCTCTATTTCGAAAGTGAAGCATTAAACGCGATTTTAAAGTTCAATGGTCGATACTGAAAAAGAACGGAAGTTCATAGAATATAATGAAATTCTGAACGACCTGAAGACGACGTTCATGGAAAAGTGGAAGATGAAAGTGGACGATCAAGGGAAGTCAGATGACTTTGAGCGTTACCGAACTGTCGGCACTGGTGCCTTCGGCCGCGTTATGCTCGTAAAGTACAAACCAACGAACGCATATTATGCCATGAAGGTTCTCGAAAAAGAAAAACTGGTGAAGACAAAACAAGTGGATCACACGCGTAACGAAAAACGGATTCTGCAGTGCGTTAACTTTCCCTTTATAGTCTTCATGGAGTTCTGCTTCAAGGCAAGGATTGAGAATCAAAATAGCAACGTTACTAATCTTTCTCGTAAATACACAGAAGTCTTTTTTTAAAACGAGAAATTAAATTCACAAAGAAGTTACACAGTTTGCGAGTTATCTAATTATCTTCGTGTCTCGATACATTATACTATATTAAGTGACAATGTTTCGTAAACATTACAGTTCACTTTATCAGAACTTTTCTTTCAGAGAAGCAGTTTATCGGATTGTTTCTCGTCGTTATGAAATGAACTACAATGTTCACAAAACGTTGGCATTTAACCTGGTCTATTTTTCTCAATAATTTTAATTTTTACAAAGTAAAAATTATATAAATACATGATGTTAAATTCACATCAATATTTTTTAAAGTGTAGCTTCTTTGAAGAAAATGATAATTTTAAAAGAAACCGAATAATCTCTCTACATTGAATAGATATCCAAAAGACTCTTTTATAAAACAGATGCATAAACGTGTTTTAATTCCTATTTTAAGGACAATTCGTATGTGTACATGGTGATGCCGTTCGCACAGGGCGGTGAGATGTTCACCCATCTCAGACGTATGGGAAAGTTTGATGAATCGCTAGCGAAGTTTTATGCCGCCCAAGTAGTCTTAGCCTTGGAATATCTGCACCACTGCAGCTTGATCTACCGGGACTTGAAGCCGGAGAATATTCTGATACAGAACTCCGGCTACATCAGGATGACCGACTTTGGTTTCTGCAAAATGTTGGACGCTCGCACATGGACATTGTGCGGCACACCGGAATATCTAGCGCCGGAGGTAATTTTATCAAAGGGCTATGGCCAGGCTGTCGACTGGTGGAGCTTTGGTGTGTTGGTCTACGAGATGAACGCAGGATATCCTCCTTTCTACGCGCCCGACCCTATGAAGATCTACGAGAAGATCATTACTGGTAAATACAAGTTCGCGCATCATTTCGGAGAAGAGTTGAGGGATATACTGAAGAATATTTTGCAAGTGGATCTAACGAGAAGATATGGCAATTTGAAAGGAGGTAGTATGGACATCAAGAGGCACCGCTGGTTTAAATCTATTGACTGGATCGAGATTTATCATCAGAAAGTACAGCCGAGTTTTATTCCCCATTGTAGTAACAGCGCTGATACTACCAATTTCGATTTTTTCGATGAAGTATCTCTTGAGGTTGCGTCGTTTGATCGGTATAGTAAGGAATTCGCGAATTTTTAAAAATAACGTTAGCAAAGTAATATAAAAAATAAAAGATTATAATGGAATTACGTAAAAACGGTTAATTGTGCGTGAAAATATCTTTAGGTATTTTTAATTTAAGTCCGAAAATTAATTTACAATGACAATTATTAATCAACAACATTCTTTAAGCATGTCAGAACAACACTTTATGTAATAATATAAAAAAGAGAGAGAAAAAGGAAGTACATAATCAAAGATATGCATTTTTTAAATTTAAATATATATTAGTACTTTTTTTTACGTATCTAAGTGCTCCGTACTTAAATACAATTAGGTTGCATAAAGTGATATTTAACTATAAGCAATATGTTGCTTTACGTTGACATCAAATAAAAATATTTTTTGCTCTGATAAGATTTCTAATAATAATTTAATTCTGTACTTGTATATTACATTTATTATGTGAATAAATGTACAGCTATCAAGTAATTTATAATTTTAAATTAGAGAGATACACAATTACCTTTGAGCTGTTGAAAGTAACGATTTAACGCGTCGTGGCAGCCCAAAACGCAGTATAATTCCTTTGGTGGTAACAATTCTTGCGTCCCATTCTGTAAACATATATCGGGCTGACATTATAAGAGTTTTATTTCTATAAAATTAAGAAAATATTACATAAAGCTGCCATGCGAAGAACGACGTTACGAGTATATTGCAGCTTTACGTAAGTTTCTCCGATAATAAATGTCATAAAAATAAAAATGACTGCGATACTAACGCAAACAGCTTGGCAGCTTGTGTCGAGCGCTTGTTCCCATGCTTCGCAGCCTTTTGTACACTGCAATAATAAACATAAAGATAAGAAAACGACAGTGGAGATATTCTAATTTCACGTATTTGTAGAAGGAACGACCTCAGTTTTTCTAAATCTTGTAAAAAATTTTGAACCAGAAATATAGAAAACAATTATCCTTGATCTTCTTTCCAGTAAAATAAATGCATTGTCTCATGTTCACGTTGGTTTCTTCTTGCTACAGAATCTACAGTTCTAGTTTTTCGAATGTTGTTGTTTTTGTATGAATAAACTTTGTTAATTATCTGCTAAGTAATACACGTAATGAAAGGTTTTGTTGAAATTATCTAAAAAATTAGCTAGATGTAAAAACAATTTTGTTGGACCATTAAAAATAATTATATTAAACACTCAAACTAATTGCTAGAAATATAAAAAATTTTGCAACATTATCATCATGCATATATCTACATAATTATTTTGATAGTTCAAAATAATTTTCAAACTATCTATATTCAATATATATTCATCTATATTCAACTTGTATCTTCTTGTATTTTGTGTGCATAAAAATAAAATATTCTAATGTAAATGAAATAATAAAATAATTTAATATAAACATAAAGGCCATAAAAATATTTTCAAGTTTGGATGACGAACTTTGCCTTTATACAAGTTTTTTCCTATTGAAAATGATATATGAATTGCCTTTTAGAATATAATGAATTTAAGTAAAATACGTAATTAGTATTATATCGCAGTATCTAAACAAAATTTGATAAATATATAAATAACTTTTATATTTCTCTTTTAAACAAAATATATTTTACGAGGGTTTACTATTATTTTTAATTTAGCGCTGTTTCTCTTTTAATAATTAGAATTTTTCTTAGTAATTGCGTACAATATTCGCGGCTATCTCATCTCAACACATTTAATATTTCATGTTCTGGACAAAAATCATGAAATGCATCACGCGTATATATTGGATTTGTGGAAAATCGGTCTGTCCGGTGCGCATCCTTCCACCGAAGGTCGTCGAGCGTTCAACAATTCGCTAAAATACAGCTCCGGAAGTGGTCGAACAATGGGTCACGTTATCCGGAGCAAAGTGACATAACTCGTCGTGCCACTACGTGGCGAAACAGTAATTTTTCGTGGCCGATCTCGGATTGCTTGGCACGTGCCTCAAGTAACGCCCACGTTCATAAGACGTTCGTTGCATGGTACCATGTCGAGCATAGATTTGCGAACTGAAGCTTAACGCATTAACTTTCTGCACGAGAGGATGTGGGTATTTGTCGTCGACAACAAGCCAGCTGTAACCGAGAACGCGTACGGCTCAGCTTCCACTACGCCAATGCACATTGTTTATCTTATGGTTTATTGATGTGAATCTTTCAGGGCCACGGTAGCCTCTTGAAAATAATCCCTAAGAGAAGGCCCGTGTTCATATCAAATAAAAATACATATTTAAATTTAGCGAGTGCTGTTTTATGACTTTACTCAACCCAGAGGGACTGAGAATAAATTTATAAAGATGAATGTAACTTATTGCTGTAGAGGAGTACTCCAAAGTTCAATACTTTATGCATGGATCAATAAAAGAGAAAAAGTCGCCTTTATTAACACGTTGTTAATTCTCATTAGCCTGTTTTCGATTAGTTTTATTGTTTTTTTTTAAATGCGAAAGTTTTTTAAGTTACTTTATATAGATTTAATTGATATATGCATATTGACATATAATGTATATGATTTTTGTATTAATTTAATTTCTTTATTTAAAGTTAGTATTATTATTGAATTTTAAATTTATACATATAATGCGATAAACGAATAAATATTAATTACACAAGAAAGAAATGGCTAAAAGTGAATTTGAATAAATTCAATGCTCTAGATTTTTGTTTTTTTAAATGTGAAAAATTTCTTATGCAATATGTTAGACAGAGATGTATAAAGTGTTGTTGAATTTTTAAAGAAAACATTAAAGTGAAACAAGCATTCAAATGCAACTGAAAGTATAAATATACAGAAGCAACTTGTCTCTCGAGTGTTTTGAGAGTGTAGTGGTTTCTATAATATATCTGTAGCTCTGTTTTTGGAACATTTCAATCATCACATTTTTAAAAATTATAACTACAATGATTTAATTCCATAGTTTCCATCATACATATTTAATTGAAATAGTACTTTTCATGAAAGAACAATATTTCTTTCTTCTTACTTTTTTCTTGTCACTTTCATTGTCATAATTTTATCTTAGTAATAAATAAATAAGTATAATTTCGTAATATATAGTAGATCTATTTTAACCTCCGGATACAAGAGGTGCTATTTAACAATTGGCGAACTGATCGACACTCCGCTTAGTTCGAGAGGCGCCGCATATAAATAATATTGCACTCGACATTGCAGAATAATAAGCAAATTACATCATACGAGAAACCCAATTTCCTTGAGCAAACTTTTATTTTTAATCTAATTATAAAATTAATTGAAATTTCATTACGAATTAATTTATGCTAAATGTTTTTTTTTTCGATTTTAAAGCAATTATATTTTTTGAGAGAAATAATTACACTCGAAAAATATAATTTAAAAAAAATCGGTCTGAGATATAACATTGATATTTCTCAATACTGATATTTTTTGTCGTCTTACATCACATATATTTACTGTCAAAACAGACACAAATGAGATGTTTATGAATTCTTTTGATAAAATTACAATTATCCATACGTATTAAACAGTCTATACTATATAAAGAGTGTCTCAAAATGACCTGACATTTTAATGTATTAATAAAACATATTATTTATTTGAAAAGTACACATATTTTTAGTTTAATATAAAGTACAAACATGGAGGTTATATGTGGAACACAATATCCGATAAATGGCCGCCTCGATTCTGTTTGCAAACGTTCATTCTTTTGACAAAATTTTCAATGACATTTTGGCATAATTGCGGACTAATTTTATTAATGATACGTCTAATTTCTTCCTTCAACTCCGGAATGGTCTGTGGATCATTGGCATACACTTTTCCTTTCAGAAAACCCCAAAGAAAGAAGTCCAATGGCGTCAAATCGCACGATCTTGGTGGCCAATTCATATCGCCGCGGCGCGAAATAACACGACCATGAAACTTCGTCTGAAGAAATTTCACAATTTCTATGCGTTGCTCGATCGTGTAATTCTCCATGACTAAACCTCAATACTTCCTGATGCCAGTTGTTAAAGGTTAGTACGTTACGTTCGCTGCAAAAAAAATGACGCGCAATTTAAAATGTCAGAGCATTTTGAGACACCCTTTATTTTATCATTATATTTTTGATAAAAGATTACACTTAATTATTAATGTAACAATGAAAAATCCGAATAATTAAAACCGTAAACAGACAGTTTTTTAAATAATGAACTTATGTTTAGTCTTCATTAACAATTCTTTTTACGTATCAATACGTACGCTAGATTTCAAGATAATTTCATAATTATACTTAAAAAAAGATGTAAGTCTAACGTGAACTGCGGATGAAACTTTCGAGACGCTCGTCGCATTATATGCTCATAACAACACGCATGTATATGGTGTTCGAGGGTATCACATAGGTCAGCTCGTATGAAAAGTCCGTGGAAGGAAAGGAACCTCCAGTACCAGATAAACGTTATTAATAATCATTTGACGCTGGGAGTTCTACGACAGTTCTGGTAAATCATCGAGACGCGAGTGTCACATCTCAAATCGTAGTCGTTAATTTCCCGCTATAAATAAATTTGTTTTCATTAATCGCAGAATTATGTCAGCGGTATTTAGTAATCTTTTATTGGCACTTTAAATTGGTAAAAAAACATTTGCAAGTTCGATTCCTGTTATATCAAAGTAAAGTTTTGGCGACTCTTCGAATAATTAAAAATAGACTTAAAAAATAGGCTTACTTAAATTTTAACTTATTTAAATTATTTATATATATTTAATAGACAAATATTCAAACGTACTAATATTGTAATTTATTCACGTTTGAATTAAGTGTATGCAATTCGCGTATATCTCGCAACAAAATTTGTTTGTAATTCTGATAGCCATACGGAGCCATGCGAAAACGTAAAATGTTTATTTTACTTACGTTTCCTTATCATGTGAGTACGCTGAGAAAAAAAACTGTTGATTAATGTCTTATCTAATTTATGACCGCAGTGACATCGTTGTACAACTCTTCGCCCTTTTCGATTATTTTGATTAATTTACAGCTTATTTTTAGTAGATTATCAATTTACTTTTTTGTTCCTTAGAAAATATCAGCCTTCTGTGAAGCGAAGGATGTACAGATTCCGAGGTTTAATTCGTTGTAACGAACATCTGGGCGCTTTAATTCGACGTGCCTCGTCAAACATGAGTTTTTAAACGATCTAGCCATCCGCACAATGGGGGTAGACAAAACTATCAGACAGTAGAAAATGGCCGAGCTGAGCGACTCGGCGTAGCGGCCGCTAATTTCTCACTTCCTCATTAAATCCTCACCGGGTATTATGCCCCCAGCTGGGCCCTTCCTCCACATACGCGGCTCCCCGTAGATCGTAGATCTTCGTCCTACCGCGAACAAGCATTTATCTGTCCTCTCCTCGTTTTGCTTTAACCCCATTTACTCCTCTCAGTCTGGCTCTGGCAATTATAGACGAGTAGAGAGGAAAAAAGGTAACGGCGCCTCGGATCGTCTTCTTTAAGTAATGTCTTTATAATGAGCTGCTGATTTACATGAAACCGATTATCGATGTCAAATTTTTTAGTAGATACTGTTAAAAGATCCTTCTATCTTTTGCTTTGATTATCTGTGATAATTTTAATATCTGCTATATTTTATATATTGTTATATTATTTATTAAAATAAGACGTTGTAATATAAATTGTTATGTACTTTTGAAAATAGGTAAATATTATGTGGCACATAATATTCAAAGCAATATGTAAAAATAACGTCAATGAGCAAAATTCGAGATGTTGTAATATGTCAAATAATTTATTAGTATGAAAATTACAAATTTTATTAATAAAGATAAAAAGACTTTCATGTTCTGTTTTAATATTTTAATTATGTAAAATCTTTATGAATATTATCATGCTGAAGAAGATTCTGTGTAAACAAAAACGTACAATAGTCCATTTTTATTAATAAATTTTGTCATATTGATAAATAATAAATTATTATATTTGTTACATTACAACATCTCGAACTTTGCTCACCGTTAACCTTATTTCAACATATTGGTACAGTTTTGTATTTGTTTAAATATCACTTTTAAATACCGATATCTTTATATTTTTAATAAATAACAGTTTTTTTTTTATAATAATAGTAATGTTTATAGAAAAATTCAAATAGTCGTCAAATAGTGTACTAAATCTCTTTCTTTCACACATTCATTAGTTTGTAGTAGTTGAGATCTGGTTGTAGTAGTTAGCTTCTGGCAATCTTTACACTCGTGGCAGCAATTTTCAAGTCAAAGTGGCTTCTGGCAGTGACCACTTTCAAGCAGGGACATTTGTATGGATACATCGCTGTCAGTGGTCCTCCACTTTACTACATTGTCAGACAAACACACTCGATCATCTGGTTTCTTGGCGTATGATACACGGAAATTTATTGTTTGTTCGTGGTTAACGTTTTTCTCAAAGTATTTATAAAGAAAATGCTATGTAAAGCATATCATAAGAAAAACATTTAAGATTGAAATTTTTTATGTATTTAATTTTAACATGTGCTAGTTTAATTAATTCATTTTGATACCTTTGTTTTTATTGTTTGTCACAAAAAGCGTTGAATATATTTTATCTCGTATAACGAATGCAATTTATTAATAATAAACTCTTCGTGAAGATCGGAAGTAGTCATCGACGGATATTTCCGGAGACGAGGGGATGCAAGGCTACATTAATATCCGAGAGCCAACCAAAAAAAAAATGAGAGAGCGTCGAACAAAAGAAATTCCAGTGGTATTAATTCGTCGTTATCGACCTGTGAAATTACCGGAAGAGACGTAAAGTCAATCCGCTGATCATGGAGTGAACGTTGAATGAGATCTACAAACACGCAGTATACTCCATATCGATTAATTAGATAAATCAATTAGATTTCTAAAACCAGATTAGCAGTAAATATTTCACTTCTTTTTTTTGTATATGTATAAAAAAACAAGACAGAATTTAAATATACAAAATATATAAAATTTAAATATAAAAAAAAACGTAGAATTTAATTATGCTCTGTTAAAATTTGAAAAGATCTAAAGTAACTGATGCAATTCAGGCGCGAGTCGAAAGATAAAAAAATCGAGTGGAATTAAAAAATTGTAAATCGTTATCTCAGCCAAAAGAATGCGATAATTTAGCTAAAGACTAAAAGTGGGTCGCGTCGAAGCGCGTAAATGTCTAGGATCGCGAAGTGTCTTCCTCCACCTACGTTGCCCCAATCCGTTACTCGTACGCGTTACTGGCGACTTACGAACCGTGAAACGAGCTGAGGGAGGAAATCGTTTTAAGCGCAATTCGCGTGGTAATTCGTTTTCCAGGCCTCGTTCCGCAACGCGTCCAACGAACGCCGGGTCGCGCGCGATATCCTGAACGAGTCCGGCTCATTGATGTTTTTTTTTTTTCGCAGACATGACAATTAGGCACGCCAGGATCTTTTCTGTTCTTTTTTTTACAGGGTTAATTATCTCGCTCGTTCCCTGTCCTGGAGACACGCGTTACTGGATATCCTTCCGGTCCCCCGAAAATCCTTTCATGGAATGTGTATTCTTGACGATTTTGAAATAATAAGCTAATGACAAGTGTTAAGAGAAAGTAATTTCTTTTAATTGTGATAATTCTTTTAACTTTTATAATCCTATGAAATGTAGTTTCATGGAAACATTTCTTTTTTTATAACTTTTTATGACTTTGCATAGAGAGAATTCAAAGTTTTCTTTACAAAATAATTGTATCTTTGTCGATTGTTTGATATATATTACTGATTTAGATCTCCATCTTCTTCATAATCAAATAACTTTAAAAAACAATTTAATTTATCTCTCTCTTTCCAAAGACAAAAGTAAATATTGATAAAAGATCATACTTATTCATTCCCGTCGTGCGACGGAAACTGGAAATACAAGCGCGCGACTCCAGTTACTCTCTCAATTTCCCCGTTTTTCTCATTCGCACTTCCGTTTTGGATAGAAAGGAACTGAGAGAGAAACGGAGAGAGAGAGAGAGAGACAGAGAGAAAGAGAGCGAAATGGGCGAAGCGCGAGAGAGTGAATCCGGAGTCGCACGGTAATTTGGCGACATCCGCCATCGGTCGCACTTGTACGCGATCCAATTTAAAAGCACGAAGCCGTAGCAGAGAGCAAGAGAGAGAGAGAGAGAAAGAGAGAGAGATGGGCCATTCTTTCATTCGTACGCAATGCGCTTCGTACGTACGCACGTTGGTCCCATTCATCGACCGCGCGTTGTTTTTTATTTGCCATTCACCATCTCCGCTGCCGCCGCGAGTTAGGAGTGGCGGGGCCCCCTGGGACACCAGCGGAAGTACTTTCATTGTAAACGAGGGACCGCCATCCCTTCGTTTTCGTCTGCGACGTCCGCGCTGGTCATTTGCGTATATCGCACTATCCCGCCAGAATTACCCGATTATTGCCCCGAACTTTGTTATATCACATGCGATTAAGTTTTATTGAGGAAAGGACAAGACGACCAACCCTTAATACACACGATTGGGTCGTCCGTGCGGTACACGTTTCTTTTCTTCGAAAAATTAGAAGCATCAAGTATTTATAGTATACAGTATTTATGTATAAGTTTCTTAAATATACAAATACTTTTTAAAGATATTACAATACAAAAATCGCTTAATAAGTTTTGTATTATATTTGTTAAAGCGATGAAAATTAAAAATTTGTGTGTAGTAAAAAACCTAACCTGCTGAAAATCATCATGTGTACTAATGCTTAAAGAAGCCCAAGAGAAGAAAAGCGTATCTTCCTGATATCATTCATTTAAGTTTACTTAATAATTCGATCGGATATTACAGTAAGTACTGTAAATTAAAGCCGTCGTACACAAATGAAACACACGTAAAAATGTGTGTTTAATGTAAATATAAAAACGAATTAAACCATAAAATCCTCGATACATTTTATTATGCTGTCAAGTGAAATCTGTTTGTTATAATCCGAAATATTTACACTTTTACACAGATTAAATCGGTGTACAACAACTTCAATATGCATTAGTGCGTCCAATCGAATTCGCTATTAGTTATTCCCTTTGTTATATAAATTATGAAGTAATACGAGATATACATCCCAAGTAGCACAGCGCTTACAAAGCGCTTAATAAAGTGCTAAAAAAGCGCATATAATCGCTTTTTTACCGCTGTGCTGCTTGGAATATGATATTACTACCCGTGAACATCACATAGTGATATCCCCAGCGGATGGACAAATGGGAAAAAAATTCGCACAAAATTCCAAAGGGAATTATTTCACATCCTGCAGAGATTTGATACAAATTAATGATTAGATGCGGAACTTCTTACCTGATCGATCTTGCATCTCACGCCACATCCTACCTCCGAACTCAGGTCGTCCGTTCGATTCTGGAATAAAAAATACATCCCATTTTAAACCAAGTGCCTCACTTAACGAAACTTATCTTAATCCCAGAATAAAATAAAAATTAATAATAAGTTAAACTGTATTAGTAATTTATATGGAACTATTATCAAGTAAGAAGATCTAGTCTTGACTGTATTTGGAGCGCGCTTCTTATTTATTTATATTATACAGATAAAAAAAATCGCTTCTACACGTTAGATCGTTGATTTTTAAGCTATCACGTTGATACCTACATCGATCGTTGTGATACGCGATTATGGCGAATACAGGGGGACCGTCGAGTGAACGCAAAAAAAAAAGAGATGTTGAACATAATGACGTGAGCGCGATTATGTTACGCGCAGGGGCGGCGGAAAATAAATTGAATCGCTTGCCGTCTTTAAAAGATGTTAAACTGTTCCATCCGGTTCAATTGACACCCCCAGTGCGTGTATTTGACGCGACACGCTGAAATGAATCGCCGAATATAATCGTCCCCAAGGTGCTCGGAGCCATCTCCTCTCGCTCACCAACGCCACAGATAACGCGAGCTCGTTACAGCGGCTGCACCTGTAGTACGTTACGCATTTCCGGGACACAGGTGCACGTCCGGCAGTCGATGGAACTGAGAGTAATTGGAAAAGGCCGGTCGTGTCGAGATCGGCGAAGGGAGAGCTGAACGCAAATAGAGAAGGGTGCGAAGTGAACCGTAGTTGCTGGTTACCACCATGGGAATTTTGGACGTTCGATTTGTTTGACCGTCATCTAATTATCATAATGTATTTAATTATGGAATAAACCCCACCTGCGGAATGCAAATTTGTATTTGCTGTGAGAAAGGTCGACGTTAACCAGTTGAAGGATTTTTGAAATTTGCATGAGGTCTAGTCATATTCTTATTATATTTCCAAAGTATCTATCTCCATGATTTTTATTACTGTAATGTTTGAAAAAGAAAGCAAAGCAGGTCTTTAAGGAATGTCTCTATAATAATTCTTTACATTTTGAAGGTGTATATGTAAATATCGATATTATTAAATTGTTTGTCAGCTTTAATTTAGAATTATATTTCAAGATCAACAAGTAATCGGCGCGCAATTTACTTGAACTGGAAGTTGTGAGATTCGTGCAAAAATATTATTAAGTTTATTAAAAATATTATTTCGATTTGATCGAATGTGGCCTTTCTTGCTTATTTGTTTCAAATATTAAATTCTAGAATAATCGTATGCTAAATTAAATTCGCACGCAGTAATTTCTTTTTATGCGGTCGACAGCTGTAAACATTCATTTACGTGATTAAGTAAGTTGGTCAAGTAGGGTACCGTTACATAAACGGAACGTATTGTAAATTAAACATTATAGCTTCATGTTAAAATTAGACGTCTTGTCCATTTTTCGCAGAAGCTCCTGCAAATAGCCATGCGGCGTGTTTTGCGGTGCTACGTTTAACTTCTAATTTTCGTAATTGGATAATGCGCACGTAAATTGTCGCGAACTAAAATTTCCGCAGAAGCGACAATAATCGAGAGAATTTCGTGCGCGACGTCGAGATACGCTCGTGTTTTCCTCACGCGTACAAATCGCCAGCGAGCAAACGGCGAGTTCACCGATAAGGGTTAATCGTGAGAGGGAGATAATGTTTTCGCGTACTATCTCGTCTCTCTCTCTCTCTCTCTCGTGGATGTATCAATTTTACGACGATTTTTCTTTTTTTTTTTTATTTTACTCGCGCGGCTTTCGTCTCGTGGAAATATCTTCCCGGCAGCGTGAGCCGTTGTTTAACTTTGCTCGATTAATCAATCCGGCTTCGCGCGTCATCGAGAGATTTCTCGGCCGTATTTGTCGCTGTACTTTAACGTATATTATTTATAAAATACATGAAATACTTCAAGATATCGCCAAAGGTGTATTTTGTTTTCCACAACACGAACCGATATATTAAGAATATCACGCCAAACTCGTATCAATTTAATTCACGTAATAATCCTATGTTAATTCTTGTTTACATCGTCGTAAGTTATTTCGAACTTCCTCGAAGAAAACAGAGATGAATAAAGAGAATAAAGTATCGACTATTTGAAGAGGTGAGCAAAATTTGCAGAAGATTTCTCGTTAATTTCCTTTTAACTTCGATTTATTCAATTAATTTTAATATTTTTAATTATATTTTGCTTTTATAATGTACTTTATACGCGTTATTATGTAACGTATTGGACACGATGCAAATCATCGATTTCTTTTAATTTTTTATTTTTTCATCAAGCTAGAAGGAAGCGCTATGCGTTTCCTTCTAGGAAATAATTAATAAGACAAATCGTTTTTCTTGATAAACAATTCCTAGGAAATATTCCTCTTTTCAATCTCAAGAGTAATTTGGCAGAATGATTCGGCTTCTTTGAACGATTAATTTTCTTCTTCTTCAATTAATTCCGAATGAACGACTCTTCGTTAACTCGACTTCTTTTTCGCGAGTGCTTCCACTCTTATTGCGAGTTCCAAGACGAAGAGTTCGTCTTATTGTTAGAGAAACAAAAGGAAAGGACGGAGAAATCACCTGCTAAAAGAATGGCTTTATCTGATCTAAGGTAATCAACTAATGCATAGCTGCCCGTCCTTCTGCACGTCCTTTCGTCGCGTCGTGTCCAACGTCTCCGTCACGCTCGACGACGCCGACCAACTGTTGCGTCTTCCCGCCATCGACCCGACATAATCTCGAAGACGGAAATAATAGCGGGTGTCGAACACGGAAAGCTCTAGTATTGCAAACGGAAGGGCTCGTTCACCATTCGGTTAAATGGCGTTAGGATTCCATCGCAAACATTCTTGAGAAATTCTCCCTCTTCGTGTCAATCATTGTGCATAATCCTCATTTACATTCATACTGTGAATATGAATATCTATCTTCTTTTCTTCAAAAAGATTTTGCTGCGATTTCTAAAAATTTAACCAGACATGGATTTGAAAATAATTTTGAATCATTAATAATTATACAAAAAAGCGTAATGAGTAATGCTGTAAAAAATTTTGACATTCTAGCAATCATAATTACTTTAGTAATTTTAAAAATTATTTTCAGATGTCTAATTAAATTTTTAGATACTTCAACAAAACCATTCCATCTGAATTTCTTTCATTATTTAACTAACTTTTAACAAGAGTCTAATGAATATAACTGACAAATATTTCTTTCTTAATTATCTTTCATCTTTATTTTCATCTTTATTTCCAAAAATTAAAGAAGCTGAATAAAAAATGTTTTTGAAGGAATAATAAAAGACTGTAAAAAATAAGCTAAGTAACAATGAAGTTAAGACGGTTGCTAAGGATCGACCAAACATCCCTAAAAGTATAGTTATTACAATAAGATTGGAAGGAGCGACGGCACTTGATACCTGTCGAGACGAAATAATATGACATGGACATGTTATTTTGCACGCACGCTGTTTCAAGTTTAAGGTAAAAGGTGTCGAGTTTTTTCCTGCGGTCACCAACGTGCACGGTCGCACGGTGTTGGATGTACACCGGCCAGTGTCCACTCGGTTGGAACAGCGGCCTAAGATGGAGCAATGCCTTCGACGATCAACTCGCCGAAAGGGCGAGTGTTGCGAAAGGGACGATGAACATGTCAATTCTTGAGAATCATGATCCCAAAATAAAAAACAAATGTGAGACACCGCCTGTCGTCACAAAATATCATTTGCGAGAAATTTTAAAATATTCAATATTCTTTACTTTTTATTGTTTAAGGCAAATAAAGGAAAAAAATAGAATAAATTTGAAAAAAATTATATAATATATATATTAGAATAGATGGTATCTTGGAATGTCTCTATTATCATATTTTCTGAGATTTTTCGTATTTTCTTTACATGTTAGTTAAAAAGGCGCCGCCGGTGTCATTCGAATGCACGCAAATGTTTTCTTCTACGAACTAAGTCAATTATTCTCATATTACGTCGGGAATTGAAAGGATAGACATTGCAGTTGAAGCTGCAATTATTAATGTGACGACCAGGAAGTTCTTCCAGCTTCGATTTCGTAATCATCACACGCGCATTTTAATTATATCTGACGTGTATTTACAATAATTACATTGTCTAAGTTGCACGTCATAGAACTCGAAATAATTATTTATATGTATATATAAATATATATATATATATACATATATTTATAAATCATACAATAATTTAATAAGCACAATATAACAGAAATCGTTAAATAAATCGATGACTTATCTTTATATACATAAATATAACATAGAAGTTGTAGAATCAAGATTAGTTTCGATTTTTGAAATATCGCCAAATAGAAGATTATAATACGAAGAAGATCATAAATAGAAAAGCCTTTAAATTAAGCTAGAGATTAAAATTAGAGCTGGTGCCTTAGTGTTTAATAATATTTCTATATTTTCTAGTTCTGCAAACTGCACGCTGATTAGAATAGATTAGATAGAATTAGATATTGTCGCGAAATTGGAATAACAATATTACTAATTCAAATGATGCTCAAACTTAACGCTGCTAAATTAATCATCTTTAAACACTAAAAAAACTTAACGCGAAAAATATCATCTTACATAGAAAAAACGGCTTTGTTAAAATTTCTAAAAATTTAATTAAATATACATTAGAAAATAATAGTATTGGACTAGAAATAATTACGAACACTCAAGCTGCTTGCTAAAATGTCCAAATTTTTTGCAGCATTGTTCATGTTTTTACATAATTATTTTGACGATTCAACAAAATTATTTTCAGATCTGTATCTAGCTAAATTTTTAAATACTTCAGCAAAATCGTTCTTTCCTTGCAAAATTCACTTTACTTTAATATGATTTAATTACTATCATATAATATTATAAAGAGTTAAGTTTCGTACTGAGAGAAAAGTGTACTAAATTTTAATAAATATTTGTTTGAATAGTACTAGTTAAACATTCACTAAATGTAAACATATATTTATTTGGTACAAAAAAACCATAAATTGATTTAAC